CAGTCTTTGCAACACACGACGCGCAGATACGCAAGGATGTGACCCGTTTTTGCGTGTACGAAACGCAAAAACGGGTCACATTTGTCGTGTGAATCGTCGCGCGGGATGTGCCTGACGCTCGTAACTAATCATTGTTAACGTGAATGACACATCGGCAGAGACAAGCTTTATAGTGATGGGCGAAACGGATCGACATGGGGTTCCGTTCCACTCTGCGAATTGGATGGACGCGATAGAAACTTCGTTACTTAGTTAAATTGACGGAAATCAAGTTTTCCTCCTACTTGCGGAATGGCATCGATGTGCATCGTGACGAAAACGTGGCTGTGTATGGCCGCGTCGAAACGGCCGCGACTCAACGTCAATGGGTTTCGCAAGCAATTGCCTGTAATACGCTCGAAGCGCTGGAATTGTAAAATTCCATGACACAGAAGCGAGTTTCAGCTTAAGGGACGTGCGTGTGTAAATGTAGGAGAAAGAGAGGAAGAGAGAGAGAGAGAGAGAGTGTGTGTGTGTGTGTGTGTGTGTGTGTGTATGTGTAGAAGCGTTCGAGAATTGTCAAGCCTCGCATAAATTACGATAAAACATGTGCGCACGGCATGGTAATTTATGCGCCGCGTTAAGGGGTGAAGAAGTGCATAAAGCGCGATTTTATACCGCCGTGAAATGAATTTCGTGATTTACGATGTATTTTCCGTGGCAAGAATGTCGTGTTCTATAAGGATTATATTACACATTAATACAGGCCGTGCAATTTTGTCGACCGTGAGCGGACGTATATATATGCACTTCCACACGTCTCCATTCGTCACATCAGTAATTTGCCTTCCGTCATTTATTTTCTCTTCCTTTCAGGCGATGAAGCTTTATGAATATTCTCACTATACATACGGAAAAATACTCAATAAAGTAAAAATATCGGTTACAGTACCAGGGATACCCAGGATAGTTGCGTTTTTTGTGATGTGTTTATTAAACTGCAGAAACAAAACGAAATCCTCTCGTATCAAGCCACCTAAGTACCTCTCCTAACAATCCGACCGATGCACTTACTTTGATTTCTCGAAGCCGGCGTGGAATAATGGATGACCGACTTTCAATGCGATGAAAACATTAGCCGACGGCATCACGCGCAACGTTCGTATATCGTTATATCCAAGTAGCACGCGGATCGCTCACTCGAATACAATATGGTTATCGGAAATCACTCAAATTATCATCACACTGACCACACACACACACACACACACACACACATATATATATATATATATATATATATATATATATATATATATATGTGTGGATATCCCAGATCACCTTCACAATCTCTCGTGAGGACGTAGAGGAGATTAAGATGAACAAAAATCCCATATTTTGCGATATTCCCAATAATAGTCGAGATATTAATTAAAGAAGATTGGTGAATGATCAGGCGCGATCATGAGCTACAGTGGCACCGTTTACTGTTGTATACTTATACATTAAGTCAAACTGTACAAAAAAAGTCCTCTACCATTCTGCAAATGACCACATTTTTAGATATTAATAAAAGAAAATTTGTGCATTGTGGTACACAATCATGTAACAATTTTCTTTAATTAATATCTAAAAATCTATGTGGTTATTTACAAAATGATAGAGGACTTTTTTAATCAGTTTGACTTTATGTATAAGTATACAACGGTAGACGGTGCTGCTGCTTATCTAACATATCGCGATCATTCACCAATCTTCTTTAATTAATATTATCGCGTCTATTATTACGAATATCGCAAAATGATATGGGACTTTTGTGTTCATCTCAATCTGCTCTACGTCCTCACGACAGATTGTGAACGTGATCTGGGACACTCTGTATACATATATCGGTCCTAATTTATTCTCCCTCTTTGTAACAGATTCGTATCGCGATGAAATAATATAACAGAGATCTGTGTGTGTGTGTGTGTGTGTGTGTGTGTGTGTGTGTGTGTGTGTGTGTGTGAAAAGACGCATCACGATCGTGGATATATTATTACTTCTATATACAATAATGAGCTAATAAAAATAGAAATTAATTAATGTAATTAAAATTAAGTACTGGAAATTATACGATGATTCAGTATCCTTTGATAATAAAGCAATGTAATATCTCGTATATATTGCCGCATAAATTGATAGCCACGTCATTTCACATGAGTGCTCGTATTTCGCACAAGTAGTTCGAGTGACCTTCCTCTGCCATTCTAGAGCGACTTCTATCGATTTTGGCCCCAATTGGAATACGACTATCAAAGTGTTGGTAGAACAATATTTCGCGTTATCCCAGTCTTCTCTCTCTTTGCCCTCGTGTGTTTGTATAAATAATATTCAAAAATAAATTTCACGTCAGGAAACGTTTTCGTAGATACGCTTAGGCGAAGGAACGTTTTCGAAAGCCGCATCTTGCGTATTTTAGCATGTCACGATATAATCAGGTCAATCGATGTATAATTGAATTAAAATGTCCATTAGAGTTCTTTTTTCTCCTTTTTTCAACTTTGCCTCGTGATACTCATCGCTGAGTAATACCCTATAAAATTTCACATTTTCCATCAAGAATATAACTGTCACTGGAAAGTTAGAAAGTAATTTAACTACTTACGCGCAAGACACTAATTAAACCGCTTTTCCTTCTTTCCTTTCTTTTTGTGTATATAATTTTGTTGTAGTAGCTAGTCGGTGTGACATTATTAGACGAGTTAATGATTATGATACATTGAATTCAATGGCCGTTGGAAACAATGCAACGAAAATCGACGACGCGATCTCGCTCCTTGTAATATATTACATGTGAACATTAGAGAATAAGAGAAAGAGAAAGAGCGTCTGTGAGAACCACAATTATCCTCATCCACTGTAAAATTGTCCTTTGTGAACTTAAGCATTTAGTACATATTACTCCGACTACTAATATATACACACACACACACACACACACACACACACACACACACACACACACATATATATATATATATATATATATATATATATATATATATAACACGCGCACGGCAAGAAATGTTAATGCGCAAGCGGGATTAACTTCTCGTTCTGATTTTACGCTTAATCGTGTCTAATATAGTTGCATAGACAATGCTGAATTATTGATAGATACCGATGTAATTAATTCATACAATCTCGTTGAACTAACCAACATTTAATGTTTAAATAATCGTACAATCCCAGTAGGTCATATTAAAGCATTATTATAATCTCAGGTTAGGCGATTTGCATCCATGATGTTGGTACGTTGAATTAAAACTCTTGTATCGCCGCAAATAATGTACCCGCGCAAGTTTTATTTTGTGAATTGGAGAAATTTCTAAAGATTCTCTTACGACTAGAAGAGAATAAGGGAGAAAGTAATAAATAAATAAATAGTACTAATTGAATAAACAAGTTAATAAATAACAAATAATACTATTAATGTATATTTAGTACTTGAATAATTATACTAATTGAATGAAGCGTCTTTTCACGCTATTCACATGTGAGCTATTGATTAATTTGGTCGTTATCCGTGCACGGTGCTCAATACGGTAGTGTACAGTATTGTACGGATATAAATGGATATCTTAGCTGTCAGTCTTGGTGGATAATGTCATTTGTCAGACATCATTGTGACAAATTGTTATCTAGCGAGAGAATTCGTTGAAACAAAATATCCAAATCAATGGAACCTCCTCTTCTGCGTGAAAATATCAAGTTGTGCAGAAAAATTTGCGTACCATTTATAGAAACGGACACGGTGATATGTAAATTTTTCTCAGTTTTTGAAATGCAAATATTCCCCGCGGCATCAACACGTGTTGTACACACTTTTTTGTCGGTTTCTTTTTCAATATAAGAACGCAGAGAATTCGATTTTTTTCATGTGGATAGGGAAAATAAACAGTAAAAAAATATATTTTAACGCGACAGCCATTTCTAGTCCTGTACAACTTATTCTGACTCACATCATATAATAAAATGTTCAAGTCGTAGCGTTATTCGATATTTGCACGATAAAATGCTAAGAGAGAAGAAAAAGAGAGAGAGAGAGAGAGAGAGAGAGAGAGAGAGAGAGAGAGAGAGAGAGAGAGAGAGAG